CAGTTAATGAATTCTAACTTGTTTTTAATCATCCAGCCAGCAAATACAGTAAGACAATCCCCAGGGCAATGGAAATGCCGGGGCAGGGGATGTAGGGAGCCAAATCCAACTGCCTGGCTGCTCATAATTTACCTTCTGTTTTAGATTTTCCCAGAAATGTTGAGAGCAGAGTCGAAATCTGCTGCGGAGGTAGTTTTTCCCCCTTCCTGGGATGCAAAGAAATACCATCTTCTCTCCATTCCACAATAGATCTATCTCCTGCCTAACCAGCCTTGCCAATTTTGCCCCTGGAGGCTGATCCCCATCTGCTAAACCAGGGAGTAACTAATTTAAAGAGTTCTCTCTCATCACACATGGAATTTTAATGAAGTTAACGGAACCCCCTTCCTGCTCCCTTTGTTGACTCCGCTTTAAGAATATCAATACACAGGCTTACAATGAAAACCCTATTAAGGCTTGCAGCTACCGGGGATATGATTTTGAAATGCACTTGCTAGCCTGCATTAATCCCTTTGGTTTTGAAGGCTTTCTCTTCACCTCAATCAAAATGAGCTTTCCAGAGACAAATGGTTAAATAGCAGTAGCAGCCCTTTTCTGATAGCATCTCTACCAGAGGTGGGTTTCACATAAGTTTACCACCAGTTCGCCGCATGTGCATGCTACTTCAGGAGTGTGCGCGCCTTCCACAAATCCGCTTTGCTTGCACGTGCGGCTTGCAAACATGCGCACAGCTTAGAAAATGTGTCTAAATAGGACAATATAAAGCCAGAGCAGGGTGGGGAGGGCAGGGAGAGGGGGTAGGGCAGCAGGGGGTTCAGGGGGTTCAGGGGGAGGGGGAAGGGGGCATCACCACTACCAGTTCGCCCGAACCAGTCCGAACCAACTGAATACCACCTCTGATCTCTACATCTTTTAAGCTGGAAGAGATGCAAGTAACCATGTTGACCCAGGGCCGTCCCAAAGGAGGCCTGGACCCACATCGTTCTTCCTGAATCCCTTCAAAGTTGCATTTCTGTTGTTCAGTCAAGGCAAGATCTCAGAATGCAGCATTTGGTTGCCAGAGGAAAATAATTATCCTCCAACCAGGAAATTCTGCATTAAAATGGCCATCCCATTTGTAATGGCCTTCTTGGTCTCAAGTATTCTAGATGGAGAAATGCCGGCACTCTTCTTTCCCCAGGCAGCTTCATCTATTTCAAATAGCTTCCCTTGTCAAGTTCAGAAAAATATATTTAAGAGAAGTACCTGTCTCAGCCTAATCTTTCTCTGAAAAGTGTTACGAAGGAAAAATAGCACTTTGGCAAGACAATCCTATTGATGCTGATTCAGAAAAAAGTCCATGAAGTTCAGTAAGATATTCACTCTCCCCCTCTCTCCCTCTTGCTCTGAGTTGCTTAGAGTAAGGATAACAACCAATAAGCACACAAACTGTCTATTCTACATTGCTTTGCATATCCCATTTATTCAAGGCATTCAGTCTGAATAGCCATATGTTGGAGAAGACACTGAATAACCACTAGATGGTAATAAAGGTATTTTTAATCAAGTCTAGTCTGCTCTAGTCATCTGGAATACTGCAGCCCATCCAAGTGATAGCTTTAGATTCAGTAAGCTAGTTGCTCTCTTTTAACTAATGATTCCATAAACCAGTTTCAGCTGTTGCATCGAGATAGGCGTTCACCTTATTGGTTTCTCCCTTATAAAAGCAGCCAAATGACAGTGATGGCAGCAAAAACTAGTAAGATAAAGCATTGTTCTTCCTTTGCTAGAGTTCAATGCTTTAAAATTTACTCATGCATACATCTATATGCTCGAACCGTGGTGATGTAGTGGTTAGAATGCATTATTGCAGGCTATTTCAGCTCACTGCCAGGAGTTCGATCCTCACCCACTCAAGGCTGACTCAGCCTTGCATCCCTCCCAGGTTGGTAAAATGAAGATCCAGATTGTTTGGGGCAACATGCTGATTCTGTAAACCACTTAGAAAGGGGTGTAAAGCACCATGAAGCAGTATATAAGGCCAAGTGCTATTGCTATGAGTCACATACTCCACAAATTCTAGACAATTCCAAAAAATTAACTATGGAAAGATAAAAAACCCCAAAATATGCCTCTCATTAAAGTGTGCCTTCTTCCCCCATGCAGACAAGCGTCCACTTCTGCTTGTTTTGCAGAAATGCCCACTGCCTTCCAAAATGTGGGCCAAGGAGTCAGATTAAACACTGATGGAGATAGAGCAGAGATGCTGCTACTGAAAAGGCTTCCTTCTGAGCACCTTGATTTTCAACATGTCCTCTTGATCTGGAGATAGTAGATGGGCATATTTTACCTGGATCAGGTGGCCCTGAAGGTAGGAAACCATCCAGAATCACTCAATGAGCCCCTCATAAAGGGTCTTCTTCCATGAAAGGTTGACCTTCATGGAAGACATCACATTACCCTCATGGCCTAGCCTTCAACTTTTCCCTCCTTCTTCTATTCATAAACTGCCCCAAAGCTCCAGTTTGGAGTAACAAGCAGCTCACTGGAATGAATGGGAGAATCCCATTATGAAAGTCCCAGCAGAGAATAAGGTGTTGGATCTCATCTGCAAAAATCCAGATAATAACTAGATAGCAATCAAGAGTTAAGTTTTCTCACTCTTTGTACTGCAGCCTAACAGCCAGGTGGCATTTCATACAGTATATTAGACAACACAAATTTATGATATATTGTGGTCTATTGGGTCTATTTAAATAAGAGATTATTATTTTAAGGTATCCTTCCTGGCTTTTTCCGGGGTGTTTGAATGCAAGAAAAACAGAAGCAGGTAAGTTTTGAAGAATAAGTGACTGATCCAATACTGCCCTCTTCTGGTAGAAGGAGAAAAAATGTGTGGAAAGAAGTGATAGAAAAGATAAGCCACTTATAAATACATTTTATTTCACTGATACCAGCATTGATAAAGATCATGGCATACTTCTAAATGCAAGCTGTAACTGATTACCTAATTCAGTCAATTATGTATAAATGTTAGATACAATAATTGGTAATAAAACTCAAACTGCCATAGACATAACTGTATTTTCCTCCTTCCTAGAAATTTGATAAAACTTTTTGAATACGCAAGCAAGATAATTCAGCATAGTTGGATTAAATGCCTATCTCCTGATGATTTCCGCAACCAGGCGATGACTTGAATTGGTGAAGCAGCTGTCAGGGTTCCAAGTAATAGATCCATTTCAAGCAAAACTCCAAGGCAGGTGTATTCCTCAAAGAATAAGCTTTATTGGAAATATCAAATTGACACATGTCTGGTGAAAACAGACTCTGAAGGGCCCCTTGGCTTTCACCTAATTAAAAGTAAAAGTTTTCCCCTCAATCCCAAACAATGTGTCACGTGGCCCAATCACAGCAGTGTCCGCTGGCCTGGTGACATCACTACTCCTCCTTCCAGCCAAGTGTGAGAACATCCTTGGTTCCCAGGCAAAGGAATTTTATTTTGACTACACAACCCCAGCTATCTCTAATCCCCCCCCTCCCCATCCCTTGCTCCAGTGTGGCAGCACTGAATTTCCAAGATGGCTTCAGCCTGATCAGCTTCAAGGTTGACAGCAGCTTTCCCAATTGGTGCCTCCTAATCCAACAGTATTTGAGTATAGGGTCCCAAATTTCCATATGGCATCTTGCCATATTTATTGACAATTAACAGGAGTTGGAGAGAAGTATATCTAAAGCCAGCAATGGCGCAGGAAGGGTAAACTTTTTGTTGAGATTGAGGACCAAAGAATCAAGCAAGGATTTGAAGGTAGACAACAAACTACCACCATTCTTGTTTCAACAAAGTTTCAGTCCAGCAAGAACTCTTTTTATCTCCTTCATATTTATTCACTTCTTTGATTTCTCTCCTTCCTTTCATTCAAGAGCTCTTAGGAGCATACATAACTCTTGTTTCTCCCCTCTTCCCCAAAAAGCTAGACTGAGCTGGTAATGTACATGATCAAGCCAAAATCCCTAATAAATTACCATGATTAAGGGTGGAGCTGAAACTAGTTCTCCCTATTCCTAATTAGCAACAGCACTTACACTTATATACCGCTTTACATGCCGTACAGCCCTCTCTAAGCGATTTACAGAGTCAGCATATTTCCCCCAACAATCTGGCCCCCAACCTCAGAAGGATGGAAGGCTGAGTCAACCTTGAGCCTGGTGGGATTTGAACTGCTAAATTACAGTCAGCCAGCAGCCAGCAGAAGTAGCTTGCAGTATCGCACTCTAACCACTGCGCCACTGAGGCTCTAATTCAACATTTTAACCCAGTGCTTCACAAATCTGGGTTAAAATGGGGTAAAGCTGTCTTTTCTTTAGATAATGATACCCCAACCGATTGCCCAATCACAACAGGGAAACTAAAAGTGAAAGGGTTATGCCTATAATGGGTAAAAAGGACTTTTTGATAAATGCTTTTGAGTAATGAAGGAACTACAAAGTCTTGCATAGGCTTTGAAGCCAGGTGCCACCAAAACTGATAGAAAACCATGAACACCGTCACAGAATTAACAGCCACAGTTATTGCAATGATGGGCTTCCAGTAGCCCCATTGGTCTAGAGTCTGCATTTCCAGACTGGGACTGAAGAGTCACCTCCATATCCACACATGAACTCCATAACAGTGTAACATACACATATACAACTGGGGCAATCGCTTCCCATGAATTGGCTGCAAAAAGTTGAAGGTTGCTAGTTCTAAGCTAGGGTCTTCCTGATCAGGGGAGTCTAGCAGGTGGTCCTTCTTCCCTTCGGTGTTAGTGCTTTATGTTTTCCTAAGAGGACCACAAACACTGAGCAATTAGGTAAGTGACTGACATATAATCAGCTGGATGACGTTCCTCCAGATTTGATATCACACCCAAGATCCTAGTCAGCTAGCCCAGTGGTCTCCAACCTTGGCAACTTAAAGACTTGTGGACTTCAATTCCTAGAGTTCCTCAGCCAGCAAAGCTGGCTGAGGAACTCTGGGAGTTGAAGTTCACAGGTCTGAAAGTTGCAAAGGTTGGAAACCACTGGGCTAGACTACTGGATCAAAAGAGAAATGTTCCATTCCTACTTACAGCTTTGCCTTATACCCAGGTATTGCCAGGGTTTCAAGGCACTCCTTAACCAGCTGAGTTGCCTCCTTGGCAGTACCCTGGTGTATTGAAAAACCACCTCCCCCGTGGCCATAATTGTGAACCACCAGCAACCTCTCATGCTTGTGAGTCAGCACTTCCTTGTGTATTCTCACAGCTGACCGAGATGGCCTCAGGCCCACCCTCACTTTTATATTCTCAGCTGTCCGAAGTGAAGGCTCAAGTGTGGAGCATCTATCAAATATGTTTTTGCTGATAATGGGATCCGGGGACAAATTCCAGTTGTCTTTTTCTCTTATCCCACCTAATGTTACATTATGTATCCCTGGATAGATGTAGGTCAAACCATCACCATCACGAATAAAGTGCTTGATCCAAGGAGCATCAACCTTGAGAACTTGCCCTCTGGTGGGGTATAGCTCTAGATCCCCTGTAAGTTTTCGGGAACCAATGCCTGAGCAGTTTACTATGATGTCAAAATCATGGTGTAGCTCCCAAAGATCTTCTATTTTCCTTGCATGCACCTGGCCTCCATTTTCTTTCAGCCTATAAAGAATACATCAAAGGTTAAAATACGGCACTTTTGAATCCTCTAGGGCTAATGGTTTTACTTAGATCAGATAGTTCAAAGCATGAGATCACAAATTTGAAATGCAAAACTGAAGTGAGTAAAGGGAAGCCCAAATCACATATGTGTGTCCGTGGGTCATCACGTGTCACAACATCATGACATGAGCACATTTTGAACTGCGCCTCATTTGTACCATATTATATCACAGGCTGCAAACAATGTAATTCAGATCATTTGCATTATGATGTCATTACGGTTTCTACCAGATGGCACAAATCCCATCAAAATGACAACAAAAAGGAAGCATGTATGTACAAAAACAGTGCAGGATGTACTGTATCTTATTGCCTTTTGTTATCAGCTTTGAGCTACAAGTTCGACTAATAAGGAAAGGCACTCATCAAAATGATGTGATACCTTATTCCTGAAAATTTGGTATTCAATTTACAGATGACACTAAACTGGCAGGAATAACCAACAACCCTGAAGACAAGCTCCAAAAAGATCTTGACAAACTATCCAACAAAATGAATTTTAATGTGGAGAAAAGCAAAGTTTTACATTTAGGCAGGAAAAAAATCAAAGGTACAGATTAAGCGAGACCTGGCTCAAAAACAGTAATTGTGAGAGGGACCTTGGAGTCCTAGTGGACAATCACTTAAATATGAGCCAGCAGTATGCAGCAGCAGCCCAAAATGCTAATACAATCCTGAGTTGTATAAACAGTGGCATAGAATCAAGATTACATGAAGTATTAGCACTGCTTTATAAAACCCTAGTAAGGCCACACCTGGAATACTGCAACCAATTTTGGTCACCATAGTACAAAATAATAATAATGTTGAGGCTAGTCTAAAGAAAAGAAGAATAAGGGGTGATATGATAGCAGTATTCCAATATTTGAGGGGCTGCCACAAAGAAGAGGGGGCCAAATTATTATCCAAAGCACCAGAGGGTAGGATAAGAAACAATGGTTGGAAACTAATCAGAGAGAGAAGTAATCTGGAATTAAGGAATTCCTAAATTTCCTAACAGTGAGTACAATTAACCAGTGGAACAGTTTGCCTTGAGAAATCATGGGTGCTCCATCATTGGAGGTTTTTAAGAAGAAACTAGACAGTCACTTATCTGAAATGGTATAGATTCTCCTGCTTGAGCAGGAGGCTAGACTAGAAGACCTCCAAGATCCCTTTCAGTTCTGTTCTGTTGTATTCTATTGTATTCTACTCTATTCTACTCTGCAATTAAAATTATGATTGGTGGCATTTTTTTTCAAAAAAAGAAGAGTTTGTGTTTTTGGAGTGAAAAAAAGTTTTTGAATAGTGTACAGGAACTTTCTAGCTAATTATAGGTTCCCCTTGCCACCAGAACTGGCTCCTTTCTTTAATGGGGATTCACAAAAACATGCAGTCAGGATCCAAAGAATCACACCGAGTTTTCTGTTTCCACAAAAATGCTAGAGTTTTGTCTATTGGGGCTTAATACCACATGGCAATTGTGAAACTAAGTTTCCAGACACTGTGTAAGATAGAAGTGTCATCAAACTGGTGCATCCAGCCTCAAACTGCAAAACAATCTGTTTCAAACGGAGTCTGAATTTTATGAAAATTATAAGGAAATCCCGGGTGAATAAAAGTTTCCCTGTGCCACTTTGTCTTTGCAGTATGTCAGACAGCAGAGGACGGATATTCTGATTAGATCTGAGTTTGGGTGTGTTTGTTCAGTTTGTTTCTCGGCAAATGTTAGTTTCGTTCTCAAGCCAAAATGTCCCAAATTTTCATTTCTGCAGAAGAAATTCGCAGAAATTTCTATTCTTCTTTATGATATGGATTGGGATCCTAAAAGTGCTGTCGGGTTTCTGCTCAAAAACACAATCCCCACATTCTGAGAAGTCTGATTTGGGAAATCTTCTCAGTTAATAAAAAGCAACAGTTACAACTTAATATGGATGAAAGAACTCCTGCTACCTAGAACCAAAGTCCTGGACTGCTTAATGAAGCATGTGAATGTTTATTGGACATTACACAATATCGTCACAGAGCATATTTCTCAAAGTTCAATCTTAGTTTTCTATTTCCCAGTTTGTGCCAACATGCAATTGTTTTAAGATTTGAACTTGGCAGAACTTTTTATAACTGAATATACTTGCAAGCAACGTCACCTTCGTAGCAGGGGCTGCCCTCCCAATGAAAATTCTTATTAGCCAATTTGGTGGTTCATGCATTCCAGCCAAGTGGTTTATGACTGATTCCCTTGGGGTGTCTTTTGATAAAGTACCAGAAATAGTGGTTAGGACACTGAAATGATGTTTAATAAACAGCACATTTATCAACAGAAATTGTAATCATGTTTTTCAGCTCACTGGACCTATGCCATCGTTCAAGGAAGCTGATCAGCCCTCCCTGCAATGGATTTGTGTCAGGGCATTGCACTGAGGAAGGGAAACTCCTGTGGGAAATCACGAAAGAGTAAAACAGAAATGAGAGGCAACCAAAGTCTCTGCCCACAAGACCACCTGACAAATATTAAATGGATCCTGTAGCTTCACGGAGCCTCAGTACTATGTTCAGTGTTGTTTAAAAAAATGAAACATGACAGGGCCTGTGTGTCCCAGGAGACAGCAGGTAGGATTGGGAGAAGAAGAAAAAGCACTCACGGAGAGGTAATGTAAAACAAGAAGCCCAGAGCTGAATACGGTGTACAAAACAACAATACAACCCAAATGACCAGCTAATTGTTGGTAATATTTGACTTGTGCTCTCCGTCACCTCACTCTCGAATGCAAAACCGTAAAAATGACCAAATATTTAAAAGGCATCTCTGGCCTATAACACAAAAGCTGTCTTCCAGAGGAAAGTGCCTCTACATCAGTGTTTCTCAACCTTGGCGACTTTAAGTCCTGTGGACTTCAACTCCCAGAATTCCCCAGCCAGCTATGCTGGCTGGGGGATTCTGGGAGTTGAAGTCCACAGGATTTAAAGTCGCCAAGGTTGAGAAACACTGCTCTAGATATGTTGGGCCACCACTCCTGTCCTCTCCAGTCAGCATTATCACCAAGCAGGCTGGGAAAAATCACAAAGAACATCAGCCTGCCCAGCATGTTGGAGGCTGATAAATTCATGACTAAAAACCAGATGATGCATATATTATTTTAGGCATAAAAATTCTCCTTGATGTAAGATGAAATGATGGTCACTTGCTTAGGTCCAGAAACAGGTGCAGATGTAAATGCTACACTATTCCTGGGGAAAAAGAAGAGCATCATTTCTGAGCACACATTAATATCCAGCTAGAATCCAACATCACCAGATAAAATTGAATGATTGGTAATCCTGGATAGATTTAAGGTAGAATTTTGTTCCTATATCACTCTTAATCCATGCAACACAGTGGTGCAATTCAGCCAGTTCTATCCGGTTCGGGCAAACCAGCAGCGGTAGTGGCGGAAGGCTCCACCCACCCACCCAGACGTCATCACGTCCTGTTTTTGACACTCTGTGCATGCATCAAAATGCAGAGGCTATAGATTTGTGAACCAGTAGCAAAGGTAAGTTGATTTCACTCCTGATGCAGCACCCTTCTACAGGTTGTGGTTACAGCCACCAATTTACATAAAAGAGTAAGGCTACTAATGTTGTTGAAAGGATTATACTTTAAATCTAGACACTGACATATTAGCCAGTTCATGGAAGCCAACAATGGTAGAGAGCAATTATCTTCACATCCTGCCCGATGGCATCTCGCGAGTTTGGCTTCACCATTGCCAGAGCAAAGAGACTGGTCTGCTCCAACAGGCGTGATCTTCAGTTTCTACAATCACTTTTAAAAGAAGCTGCCAGGATAAATGAATCTGGGGTTGTCTCTGGACAAAGCTTTCATCATACAATTGCCATCCTCATTCTTACATTTTTACAAGGGTTTCCAAATTACAAAGTCCTTCCTTTGCGATCTTCCCATATGTTGTTCTGTTTTTAAGAAGAACTTCAGGGTCTTTGGCTGAATTCCAATGTCTACACCATTGAAATTTTCACCATGGATGTCTTAATTCATATACAGCTGAATTCATATTCAGAGTTAAATCGGAAGGTATAATCAAAATAAATTATAACCCAGGATTATAAACTGCCTATATAAGATTGCACTAATAGAGGGTGTCAAATAATAGGCTCAATGCAATCAAATGCCTCAAGCTGGAGATCTGGTTAATGCAAAGTTCCAAGATAAAGTACTTTGCTGTAGCGATTTAGAACACAATTAAATTAATTCAGGCACATTAAGATCCCTAATAAATGATCTTTTACTTGACACTCGTTGAACAGTCCACTTTGCTTATTTGACAAAAGGACAGACACCAAAATGTTACATCTTTGGAATCTGAAGCTTTCTCCTGAATGCTGAATGCTTGGTGGTGTAGCAACTGTTTTTGTCTAACTTTGCCATATCTTATATTCTAATTCCTCTGATTTTGTTGGATCCTATGTAGTATATGGTGGCAAAGAGAAACACACATATAGGAAATATGTCAGTGCAGAGTGGCACAATTACTGATTCCTGCTTTTAAAGTCATCGGTCTGAGGGAGAGGAATTTTACTCTTGGTGGGACATCTTTCTAAATTACCTCCCTACAGTAACCCATTAATAGTAACCTGTAGGTTTTTAAGAAGAAAAATCCCCACTTATCCCTGAATCTCCATGTAAAAGTTAATCTGTAAATACTATATTATAAAGAGGTGTGCTCAAAAAGGAAGCCTTAACTGACAAGAGATTATATTTTATTTGTTTGCTGGGATTTAGACCACCACAATAGAAAGATCTAAAAACTAGGCCTTATCCTGTTCCATTATTATATGAGTTTGACAGGAAAGGACCAATGAATTGGGAAAACAAAGGATTAAGTGTAAAATGCGCCAAAAGTTTTAGGTCATATTTCTTTACTGTATTGCTGATTTCAACCTTAAAAAAAAGTGAATAAAAACCCATACCTTTTCTCCAGCCAAATTAAATACGATGGGCAGTCACATTTCAGTGTGGTAAAAGCTTGACCATATTTGTGCTGTGGAAATCTCTTCAGCTCCTTTTCAGTCATTGAGCGAAAGGCCAGAACCACATCACACCAGAATGGCGTCTTCTCCTCAGGAATGTCCTTAAATATTTGCCAGCTTGTTCATATTTAAGAGAATAAGGGTGTAAAACACAGACATTCTTGGTCTTAATGGTCTCTCCCCACCCTGAAATATTTTTTTCAATAGCAAGCTTTTAAAAATTCACCAAATAAAACAAGCAAAGTTGACTTCTTCAGCCACATGTTAATATGATGTTTAGGCACCACCAGTCAAAGTGTGTGTTTTAATTATCTTTAAATAAATAGAAGCTTCCACAGCTTCTACATATTCCATAATTAAACATATATTTCTGCAAATTTGAATACATATTTACTATTCACTGTTCAAAATAAGAAAACAGTGAACATGTTCATATAGAAGTTTGGATACCATACTAATTGATTCAGTGCTACTTCATTGTTTTTGTTACTGTTGTCACTATAAAACTGTTAATCAGACTAGAATAAGTGAATGATTCAGTAGACTACAGTTAGCCATTCTAATCTTTTTAACCTCTCAGGTTGCAATTGCCTATTTTCAATAAACACGAGCTCCTCTAAACATCTATCTAAGCCTTAGGAAATAAAGACAATCCATGCTTATAAAAGAAGAGAAGGGTATTTCTAAATGATTCCAAGCAGAAAGTTCAACCAGGAAAAACATTGTTTTAAAAATATTAAACTTAACTACCAAAGCCAAGGAAAAAACCAAGCATGGGGAGACCAAGAAAAACCTCTGCTAGAGCTATATGGAGTCTTAGAGGACTTCCCATGTGTGGGATAACATCTGTTATTTTTTTGCTTGGAGAGCTTAAGGCAAAGTGGATTGTATATACACTTATCCGAGGTGGCGCAGTGGTTAAATGCAGCACTGCAGGCTACTTCAGCTGACTGCGGTTCAGCAGTTCGTCTGTTCAAAT